TTTCTTCCTCGTCAACTGCTCGATCATTCAAGCTCATTACAGTAGCATAGTATCACTATAATTAAATCAGTTGCGATAAGCAGGGGCGAACCCCATGATCACGAAGATCTGCTGTTTAGTGATAGAAACCGGAAACCTAAGCCCCGGGACTTGAAGTGGCGAACCACATAAGGCCCCGATATGTTAGGCGTGGTATTGAACCGGACGACAGCAAAACCGCTTACCACCAAAGTCGGATGGCGGGGTTCGAACCACATGATCCAAAGCACGACGGCAACACCGACTAAACCAGACAGCCGGATATCGCGACGGCGCCACAAATGTCTCAAGTTGGCAAATGCCAACCGAGCCCATTGTATGGGCACCGACACTTCATTTGTGATGCGTCCGCCGCCGTGGATGTATTTATTAATTTTTTACTTTGCGTCAGGTATTTGAGCTGCGTCACGCTCACCGTCGACCAACGATCACAGCGTTCCTTCATCGGAAAAGAACCTTCGATTCAGTTGATCGCGAAGCTTTGATGGGTCCCCTTCTTCGAAAAGGAATGTCCCAGAAATAAGTTACCCAATGAGGTCACTGTACTGACCTCTGGTCGAGTGAGACTATACAACGAACTAAGTAGGCCGTTCGTCACCAGCAGCGGCGTTCGTCGAGGGTGCTCTCGTTCACCGTTCTAGTTCAATTTCGTCTACGACGAAATACTGGAGGACGCACTTAGTGGACTCCAAAACGTAAGTAATCAGTTGGCAGCTGGAGAAAAACCGAAAAACGCCGATGACATCGTGTCTGTTCCAATATACGCAGGACGCGCAAAGCGTACTTGATAGACTAAAAGGTGCTGTTTTCACATTCAGTATGTGCTTGGAACATTCGAGGTGTAAAGTGATACTGCAGTACTGGAGTTCGCCTACTCCCGCTCTGAAACTAAATGGCCATGAAATTGTTGTGGTGGATTACTTTTCCTACTTAGTTGCGTGACCGATGACGGCAGTGCAGCAAAGGAGATAAGGGCCCGCATTTTCAAGGCTCGAGCAGCATATACAGGACAGAAACACCTTTGGCGTAGACGCGACGTTTCACTGAAGCTGAAAGGTCGTGTATCTTGTGTTACCGTTCGTCCAGTTCTGCTTTATGGTTGAAACCTTGAATTTGCGATTAGGAGATATTCATCGACTAGAAGTTTCCGATTATCGGTGTTTACGCAGTTTAGTCTACGTTGGATGGAGTGAACGGGTCAGTGATCTGGAGGTGTGTCGCCGTATGTTTCGGAGTCTATCAGGGATAAACCTGCTAGCACACCGAATTAAGATTAGTAGGCCTCGGTGGCTAGGACACGTATTGCGCATGCCCAGTTGTCATCTGCCATACCGTGCTTTATTCACTGTAGCTGATCCGGGCTCTAGGAAACCACGTGGAGGTCAACAGATTAAGTGGAAACGAGGCATGAAGAAATGCGCAGAGCCTTTATATAGGGTAGGTGTCCTGTGCCTCCCATGTTGAGGTTCGAAAGACTCCACAACCGGTTGGTTGGAAACATTGAAGGATATGGCAAAGAATCGACAACAATGGTGTTCTTGTTAGCATTTCTAGTCAGACCAGAATGCTTGAAACGGTATGTATGCAGAAATCGGTTGCGTTGCCTGTATGTTAACCACAGAGGTTCACCTCCCTCCCTCAGAATAGGTCCGATTCCTGTCCACCTTACATAGTACCACTAACCGTGCATGCATTGCGAGTTTGGCAGCGATCAGTGAAGTTCGCCTCACTGTATTTCGATGATAATGATGATGATGAATAATCGGCTGCGCTTTCGTTTCTAACCAAAACTAACTGATGGTATTTCTAAGCCTAGACGAAAAATAAAGAAATTTGCCGGCCTCTGCATCGAAATTGAGTCCGGTAGTTTTACAGTAAACAGTTCTTTGCCTGAGTAATTCGTAGGACAACGAACGCCTCATGACGTCATGTGTTGTATATTGCTTTTCTGGCTCTCCTCTCCTTTTTTCAGCTTCCATAATTACGCTGCATGTTGAATAAAGCCCAACGTTCGGGCCTTTCTCGTTCTGGTTTCTCGAGCATCCTACGTTAGCATTACAATTTATTCGACATACAGCAATGGATCGAATGGTACGCCTCGAACGGTTCGATTTTGATCCTATCTCACTAGATGCTACCAGGCAGTGGAACCATTGTTACAGGACTTTTCTCAACCTCAAGTCAGTAGATAATTTGAAACCCGANGTCGTGGAATGTGAAACCTATGAAATGGTAATGAAGACGCTCAGTAAACTCTATATGTGCCCAAAAAATGAGGTCTTCATCCGTCATATTCTCGCCACAGCCAAACAGGACAGCGGGCAAACTCTTGATCGGTTCGTTCAGAAGTCAAAGTCCCTAGCAAGTTTCAGGTTTACTACCCCCAAGGAAAACCGAGACGATACTCTCCGAGATGCACTTATTAGTGGAATCCAATCTAACCAGATCAGACAACGCCTACAGGAAAATAGTTTGCCTAATTTTCAGAAAGCCTTCGTTCAAGCGAGAGCCCTAGAAATGGCAGATCAACAATCTGTCCTACTAGAACTTTACACTGTATCCCAGAAGGCGGCTGTACGCGCACCCTCATCCACTCCTCCCTCCCCTGCAATTCTTTGATAGAGTGCTCTAACGATAGTATCGTCGCCGTAATCCGCCCTAAGTGTTTCTTCTGTGGCCTCGACAAACACCCTCACTCGAAGTGCCCCGCAAGAGATAGTCTTTGTGACGGTTGTGGTAAAAAAAAAGTTACATCCAAAGAGTTTGTCCCTCAAAAAGCCAACAAAGTCACACCACCGCTGCCGCTTACCCATCTACGTCAACAACTACCGCAGCTAACTCTCCTACGTCTCTCAAAATCTGTCGTGGATTTCAAGGTGAATGGAGTCCCTTGTCATGCTCTGATCGACACAAGAAGCTCAGCAAGCTGGTTCCGAGAGCTTAGTACTCACCAATAAGTGGAAGATACTCCCATCCAGAGGAACCATCACAATTACCCCAAGTTCCCTATCCAGCAGTACAAGGGGCACTGCTTTATCTCCATCAAATACAAAAACCATGTCTACGAAGGTCTCAAACCATCTATACTGAGTGACCTATGTTCGGATGTTCTCCTCGGACATGACTTCCTCAGCCTTTACAAGAGCGTTCATATATCATTTGGCGGAGAGAAGAGTCCGTTTACGGTCTGCTAACTCAGGCCTGCTTCCAGTGTCCCCTCCATTTTTCAGAATGTCTATACATTGTAAGCCTGTCACCCCATGGTGTAGCGGTTATCACTATAGACTCTGAATCCAGCGACCCGAGTTCGAGTCTCGGTGGGGCCTGTGCCCGGTTCCAACACAACGAGACTGCACCTTGATGTGATGTGATGGCTTGCTCGCCTCAACGACTCTGTGAGCTACATAGGATGGCTCCTTCGCCGCAGATCCAATCATGCCTGAAAGATACATGGATAGAGGCCAGACGAAGATCAGTCTCACAAGGCCAGTTGCTTGAGCACCTCCTGGATACCTCCTTTTATCCACGCCAGCCCTTGGAGAGGTCACTCTAGTAAATAAACACGGTGAGGGGCAGTTTACCAGTCAAAACCCCCGTTAGATGGACGTAGGAGCGGGGTACCTGAGGCTTCCTCTAGACGGTGGGAAAAGTCTTCGCACTTCATCGAACAGCTACCGCCCACCCATGCTGGGCAGCCCCCAACCAACAAGGTGCTGTTCCGTCCACATTCCGCTTGCCTCACTGGGTGCATGAGGCTAAGAGCCGATCCCAAAAAGTGGACCGATAATCAACGCACCAGCGAACAACATACTGAACCAAAAACCGAAGGCCTTGCGTGACAGGTCTCTAGATGCTCCCACACGGGTGCTTCGTTTACGCTCCCGCGTTGGACCTACGGTCACTCTCTTATGGGTCAGACTTTTGAGTCAAAGGCTCCGGTTAGGGTTCTTAAAGAAAAAAACCTTCGTCGATGTGCGCAACCGCGAAGTATGCCGTGCCCAAAAGTCTTAGGTACCCATTTGAAGAACCGTCTTCTTTAACTGTCTATTTCCTTTTTTCACTCCCATACCTTAAGAGATGCATCCTGTTTGCGCCACCCATCGGATACCACTCAGTGTTCAACTACTGAGACCAACCATTC